CTCTGCAGAATCTCGACATTCTTTTTTTAATTTTTTTTTTTCATTTCAAATAAATTCTGAAATCAATCATCCGTGGCTTTTATCTCTCACAAAATATTGTTCCGGCCAAGGGGCACATTAGTAAAACGGTCGAATTTATTAAAAACCGAGGGAACAATTAGCAAGCCTTCGAACCGGATATTATCAATCAAACGTCTGTCATTCGATGGCAACTCATCCTTTTGTATTAACCCTAATTTTCGTTATGGGTAACGATCGATCCTTTGAATTTTAATTGAGATCTGCTGCCTGGTTATAGCCCTAGTATTTGGCTTAAATGGAAATCAGTATCTCTTTGTGTATGATGTACAGTGGAGAGCAAGACTGTTTTTTCAATGTAAACTAATGAGAACATTTTTCTTCATTCAGTCTTGCCTTCCACTTTATCACCAGTCATCGTTAAGCTCAAGTGTTCTTGGATGCTGGAGGTAACTTGGATAGGATTCGAGTTAGAAGGCAAAATTGCCGTATCGTCCCCGTAGATGATGATGTATCAGGGTGTAAAGGTCAGCAGTATATATGATATAAAGGATGGGACCAAGAATGACCCTTGTGGGACGTTGGTTTGTGTCTGACTTTCGAACACTCGTCGCCGCACCTCATAACTCTGAAGCAGTGGTTTAATAGGGTTTCAGGATAAGGTAATAAAGAGTGGGTAGGATGCGGTTAAAGTTTAGAAAGCATGCCAGGGAGCCAGAACCTATCCAAAGTTTGTGCGCTCCACCGATCCCCAGAAAATGTTGAAGGAGGTTAGGTTAGGAACCTACAGATTACCCATAATGGTATAAACCTACCTTCTAAAAATAAATCAAGACCGAAGATATAAAATAAAACGAATGAAAGGTATTTGTTTATTTCATCCTTATTTTTCTCACTTATAATGAAATAAAATCTAAACATCGTTGACATAAGCTGAAAGTAGAAACATTCATCCTTTAAACGGTGTAATAAAATGGATATTGTATTGTATGGATTTATGACTTTTTTAACTGGAAGAGTGGACATTGTAGAAAAAATTCCCCCGGCTGATCCAGCGTAAAAATGTCTGTTTTTAAATTGTCATTGTGACAGAGGTAGCAAAGTAGGTTAAAATAAAATCTGGAAAAATCGAAAAGTTTTTCCCTCAAATGTTTGTTGTCCAAAACTCCTCCTATCAGCAAGAAACGGAGGTTTAGAACCTCATAAACTACACGTAATGACACAATCCTGGTCTCAATATATAAATTACAACCTGCATAACAAACAACATTTTGATAAATTCCCGTTTCTCTTATCCTTATTTTGTATTCTTATAATGACATATCATCTACATCGTTGACATAGGCTGAAAACATTCAGCTTTCTAACGGTGGGGGCAACCCAAAGTGTGGGTAAAATCCAGGGGAGTTACTACGAATTTTTTAGTTGAAACATCGGATATTGGATAAAAAACGGCTGATCCCAAAATTTTTTAATATAAAAGTTCGTATTCAAGGGATTTAAAGGGTTCTTAAAACAAATACGAGGGGCATTGGTGGCCGCAACGGTTTAGGCGCTGACACGGCGCTCATCACTGAAAGGTAAACGTCCTAGTTTCCCGGTGTAGTCCATGGTTTTTAATTGATTATAATATGTAAAAAGGTATAGGTATATAGGTAGGGTATATAAGTAAGTTTTACCCTAGTTCGCGACACCCAGCATGTAGTTGGACGTTAAGCCCTTTTGTAAGACAAGAATTGGATTTTTGCTTTTTAATATTTAAGAACAGGATCTAAAGCAGTTTAAGCTCTTACGGCCCACAGTCAAGAACGCACACACAGTTTTCTAATATTTTTTATAGTTGTTTCCATGTCCCTTGTCAGATAAACTTGGAACATCGACTAAATTCTGCAAGTTAAAAATTTAAAGCCTCCCAAACCTTGCTGGACCTTCACAGGCTAAGGGAAAAAAAGGAACCATTCCCAGGGTCTCCAACTCGAGAGAGCCATCCGAACAATTAATAAGCACAAAGGGAACAAACACGATAGGACATATCTCGGAAGAGGGTAATCGACCGATGACAAGGCGGTTGCACCTGGGCAAATATCGGCCGGCCTTCGCGGCCGACTTGAATCAACACATAAATAAATTGTTTGAACGGGCAAGCAAACGAATCACGACTATGACCAATCTGAAATGTCTGAATGCACGCCCATTACAAAATTTCGTTTTAGCTCAACTCAGTAAAGTACTATTGACATTTGTAGTTTTTAAATCAACTGGATTGCAACAACCTACTAACTGGAAAGAAAAGTAAAACCAAACAGTACAGATGAAATTAAAATGTTTTAAATGTTTCGTTGTACTTTAGTCTGTAATACACTGCATTAATAAGCGAGGAAATAATCTTTACTATTAGTGCCCATTATGCAGAGAAAGATTGTTCGATGTGTCCAAATAACAGAACCTTGGCACCTGACAGAAAGCATGTACGCTTGCCGCCAGATTTAAGAATGGGATTCGGGCACAGTGGCGAGTTTCTGGGTACCCTGTTCCTCTTTTTAGAGGAAGTGTTTTTTTTATTGCATATAGTTCTACTTTCAAACCCTGCAAATATGTTTGAATTAAGCCATAAAGTAGTTAATTGCTGCTATAATAAACCTGATTTTTATGTTTATACACAGGGTGTCCTTTTTAGATGGACCGGCGAATTTCCTTGAACTAATGATGCTATAAATAAAAGTTGCTATTAAAAAAATAAAAATATTTTTTAGTCTAGGTTCAAATTTTTACTTTTTTTGGAGAAAAATTATACTGGGTACCTCAGGCCTAGTTCACCTAAATAATATAAAAATCCTTAACGCTCCCTTTTACGCCTCCAATAATAATAATAATAATTTAAAAAATATGTAGATCTTATATATTTAAGAAACAACACACTTTCAAAACCACTAGTTCCCATTATCTCACAGGTCATAAAAAAGATAAATCGATGATGCCTTTTTTTTGTGTCATGTTTTCGTGTTTACAAAGGCTCTGACATGTTGTTCTACCGGCCTAATTATACAGCGTGTCCCAGTAAACAGTACAAGAGCAAATAACATAGCAGACGACGACCACACAACCTTCCAGAGAAAATTAATACATCGAATCGTTTTTTCCTATTCCATCAAAACTTGAATCAAATTTAATAAAAATACTTTAAATTAAAATTAATTTGGTCGGCGAAGCATCTTAAAAAAATTTAATATAACAAATGTTATCAAGGCACGTTTATCTACTGTAAAAATTTGAGAATGTGATAAATATAAATGAGATGAAAACTGTTCAACTTGCGAAAATCAATCGCGATGCTTAAAAATAAGGATTTTTTTATACAGTATGATGTTGACAGGGCGAAATGTCTTGTCGAGCGACGCAACTCATTACCATATCGTCTGCTCTTTAATTCCGTTTAATAAATTGATTTATTACGGCAATTCATTGCCCTCGAGAGCGTCAGCGAATGCATAAACATAAAAATATGAGGACTTGTTTGGAATGTCACTTTGATTTATCATTCCGTTTTGTATACGTCGGTGAATCCAGTTATCGGGTCCCCTCTAATTATTCTCAGCTTCTCTCATATCCCCATCTTTAGCAATGAACCTGGATGATTTTCAAGAATGGACGTTTAATTACATCCGATGGCATTGGGAGAAAATTAAACCTTTATAGTTTGTAGAATTTCGTTTTCGTTTTGCAAGGATTGCAAATTCAACAGTTTTCACTCATGAGCGTGGAAATATGAAAAATATGTATCTCGATAAAATATCCACTATTGATTAAAAGATATAATCTCACTCATCGGCCAATTGAACCAATTCAATGAATCTCTTGACATGATTTTTAACTATACAAGAAAATTACTTGCCATTACCTAAAGAAACAAGTACAAAAGGCTCATGTGTGCAAAGGGATGAACTTCAAGAGCCATCAATAAACGTTAAATAACCATGTTATCAGAAGCCCTTAAGATCTTAAAACGCAAGTAAAGAAGTTTTAAAATTAAAGAATTAGTGAGATTTCTTCCTGATATTTATTAGGTTAAGAAACTGTTTGGTTTCTGATTATGTTTATCCTTGCTGATCGGGTTTGCAGATCATCCTCAAAGTAACAACAGGGTTGTTTGGAGAACATCGCCGGAGATACCTGACAATTTCTGGAGGAACAGAAGAACAAATTTTGTGAGGTAGTCGAGTTCTGCGAGGTTGGATGGGCTCCGACCGTTCTGCTATGCCAAACTACAGGTAAATTGGTGAATTACCCATAGGCCTTGACGTAATATCTGACTCTTCTTTTAGTTCATGGTAATTACCTGCAAATTTCTTCATCAACCCCCGACCATCTAGCAGATTAAATCCACAAGGATGAGAAAATTAGGATGATTCGAGGCGACGAACTACAAGAACAGAATTTGTGAGATATCTGATAAACTCTGTTTCTGTAGCTGGTAGTCACTAAACATGCTAGTCTGCCTTTTCTTGTGGATTTGGTGTGTCAGACGATGGGAGATGACCAAACTGCGGGTTGACCTTGACAAAATAGCTCACAAAGTCTGTTAATGTAGATGATCCTATGATTCCGATCCTTATGGCCTTTCTATCGACGGTTCTGGGAATTTCACCATTTTAAGTGGTTATTTGCCGTTTGTATCCTTTTCTAGAGTATCGATACATACAAACTACCAAAGATGACATCATGCCCACGATCATATATAATCTAACTTCAATAAGAATGAAATCTCACAATTTATTTCTTTTTGTAGCTTTGTTTTGGCTTCATGCCACATTAGCAGCTGGTTTTTCATGGATGTAGTTTAATGTTTTCTTTATTTTATTTTAAAAATTGTTGATTTATTTATTTATTTTTTTTTACTCTGGCGGAATGGGATCGAGAAAGATATGATTTACGGAAAGTGGCCATTTAGAACAAGGAGAAGACCGTAAAAATTGTCTACTCACCGACTGCACATGTCGGGCCAGCCCATCCGTTCGGACAGACGCAGTGGAATTGACCCGCCTTTTGTATACAACGACCCCCGTTGGCGCAAGGTTCCGTAACGCAAGGGTTGTCTATCACTTCGCAGTTCAAGCCGGAAAAGCCTTCGAGGCATCTGCAGAGATACTGGTCCGGCGCCGTGTTCTCGCAAGTACCACCGTTCTCACATGGTTCGTGCGTCCCGCAGTAATTCAAATCTGCAACAAAAATAAAACAGTTTATTACACTGCAACAAACAATTCCAATAAGAAAAGGGAACAATAAATATTTCTTTGATTCCCTGTATAAATAGATTGCCATTCTATTTGGAACAAGTCGTTTGGCCGGAGTATGACCTATGCAGATCGAAAGTCTTGCTATTTTAGGTAATGTTTTTAATCACCAAGTGCCAAAATCACTTTATTTCTTTCGAGACTAGACACAGTGTCAACCTAAACGTAAACCTCCACCATAATTAGTGATCCATACTGAGCAACTGTCTCAGAAAATGGAAGACAGTGGAAGATATCAAAGACGCGTATGGCCGGAAAAGGTTCTCAGACCTGGCAAGAAAGTACGACATGCCGGATCAACTTCACCGAACGAGAAAAGTGCTGAAAAACGCGCCCAGCAGTATCGGAAGATGTCTACCTGACAGGTGACATGTGTAAGCCTAAAAAACGATGAGGCATATGTGGATCATCAACATGAGGGCAGAGTCTTATTTTTTTATTTATATAAATTGTTTAAGTGGTTAAAAGTAAACACCAGACAATATATGAAGGTAGGTAGGCCATAAAAGAACACCCCTCATGAGGAGGCGGTTGTCCTGTCGGGAAAACCTCTGCAGAGCAGGACATACTGGCGTTTTTCAGTTAGAGAATTCAACTTTTAGTTTTGTATTTTGAACTACAGATTCTTCTGACTTACTTGATTTCAAATGTATAACAAACAATAGTAGTAATTTTAATTCAATTAATGAACCATTATGTTTAGCGGTCATTCCTGTGGTATAATTCCACTAGGTTTTGGACTGATTAAGGATCAATTTTAAGATGTATCCTGTTTTGCGGCAGGATGCTAAGCCACAGTAGGTATCAGGACCCAGAGAGTTCAAGCCCCCTTTATGGCCAAAATGTCAAACTTTCGTTGCCTCTATGCCCCGAGTGTCCACGGTCAGGTCATTGGTGTTATTGACTTCCGTCAGGCACTCCATGCAAATCCAAACTTTTGCCTTCGCCTCACATGAGGCTAGGGTCCTAAGTGCTACCTGGATTTCAGAGAAAATGGCTTTCTTCCGGGAATGTATTTCTGGCTTTGCTATTTCTCTGGCGCATTGTTCAATCGCTATGATTTCAGACTAGAAAATTGTAGCATATTTACCTAGGTTTACCGTCAGTTCGGTCTTTGGGTTCAACCCGAAGACTCCACCTCCCGTATCCTTATCGATTTTGGAGCCGTCAGTATACCAGTAGATGTTTGCCTTTAGCGGTGTTCCATTAGCCCATTCTTCCCGTTCTGGTATCAGTGCCTTGACCGTTTTAGTAAAATTGTATTTTGGAATAGTGGCAACAATTTGCATGCCTAGAATGGCATCTACCTGTACCTCCTCTCTCAGTTTCCATTGTATATTTACATGGCCTATCCTTGCAGATGTTTGTCCATTTATGAGCCGGTAGGCTGCTGCTTAGGCTTCTCCTTGGATTAAAGTATGAAATGGTGGGAGGTTTAACAACACCTTCAGGGCCGCAGTTGGTGTTGTGCTCATGGCACCAGTGACACTAATACAGGCTTGTCTTTGGGTGCCACTTAATAGCCTTATTGATTTGGCCTGAAGACTTTGGCACACTACACCACCGTCCCATATGTCAAAATTGGTGTCAGGACAGAGGTTTATAGCCGTAGGGACATTTTGGGGTTTAGACTCCAGTTCTTGGCGCAGAGCCTTCTTGGCCCAGGCAATTTTGGCTCGCTGGGTAGTTTTAATCAGATGTGAATTCCACGTGAACCGCTGGTCTAGTGTAATCCCAAGATATTAGGCTTCCTTGGAAAATGGGATCAAAGACCCGTTTAGGCTTAGAGTTATAAGCTTTCTATTGACCTTTTACTTGTGAGAGGGAGCTCTCAACAATGTAACAACAGTCTCTCTATTAAAAATAGGGGAGACTCGGAGAAGATATGCCAATGGGTCGAAGAAGGCCTAAGGAACAGGCACATCTTGGGCGGAGCGACCCCTGAGTCGGCCAGGGGATGCCCGCAAGGAGGTGTTCTCTCACCTTAACTGTGGACGTCGCTAGTTTTTTACCCTCTTATCTAGATATTGGGATGTAATTCCGACGTAAGTTGTTGGGCAATTTATACAATTGATTTTCTAAATGTAAGTCGGATGTAATTTACAAAATCATTTGTATAAATTGTCCGGCAACACCGGAATTATATACGATCTGGATAAGACAACATATCATTTTATTTCATTTTAATTTAAGTAATAAATTTGAATATTGGTTGGAATTTAAGACAAATAATAGTGGGAATGATTGGCATATCGAAGAGGTTGCGTGGAAGGTTTGCGGCGAGAAAAGTGACTAAGACCTCGAGACGAACAAGTCAACCCTTCAGCGGGGAAAAAGAGGAATCGGTGAGATAAAAAGGAGCGAAGAAGGTTGTTTTTTTGTCTGCTCTCGCGTTGTGTTCGAGACGAATCCTGAAGAAAAGAAAAAGAAGACATCCCTGCGTCTTAGGAAAAGGCAGCCTTTCCTGCGTCCTTGGGAAAGGAAGACATCCTTGCTCCCTTGGAAAAGGAAGTCTTTGCTGCATCCTTGGAAAAGGAACTCTTCCCTGCGTCCTTGGAAAAGGAAGATATCCCTACGTCCTTGGAGAAGGAAGACATCCTTGCGTCCTTGAAAAAGGAAGACACCTTGCGCCCTGCGAGAAGGAAGACATCCCTATGTTCTTGGAAAAGGAAGACATCCTTGCGTTCTTGGAAAAGGAAGACACCTTGCGTTCTTGGAAAAGGAAATCGTCCCTACATCCTCGACGTAGATAAGAACTTTGCAAAGAGTTTTTTCTTTAAATAATTTAGTTCCATATTTGTTAATTATTTAAATTAATTTTTAATTATTTAATTTCATAAATATTTCGTGATATCCGTTGTTTTTGGCTAAGGTTTTAATAGTTTATAATTCTTTTTTATGGTTAGCAGGTGTTGAAGGGAGTTTTTACGTATGTTCTATGAGCTAAATGAAACCGGCAGCTTTTCGGCTCCATGGGTGAGAAGAATCCGCTGGTATCATGGTGTCTGTAGTTGTGGGTTTTCTATGTAAGTCTATTTCGATTAAGTTGTTTAATATGGATGCTTTAAGCCTAAAAAGTTTAAATAACCTTCTTTATTAATTTCCAATGCAGTATTTATATTACCGTGTAAAGAATTAATTAGTTAGATGAATTCTTTTAGATCCTCTAGTGTTCCCGACAATATGCCTAAAATATAGTTTAGGTTACCAAAGCCTATATAGTTAAAAAAAAATTATTATTACCATACCAATGCCTTACGTAAAGATTAATTAATTTTATTATTATTATTGTTTGTTGTTGCTTGATTTGAAAAGAATTTTTTCAACATTAACCATGAATATTTCAGCACAAAGTGGGGATAATGGAGATTGGAGACCCCCATTGGTAACCCTTTCATTTCATAAAGTTTATAATTGAATTTACAATAGTTAGATAGTAGGCATATATTTAAGAGGTCTATTATACCATTTTTTTACCAATTCGTTAATAGAATTCTCCGTAACTTTTTGTTTTATAGGTTTTGTACATTCTTTAAAGGGTATATTTTTGAATAAATTGGTAACATCAAATGATACTAAAACACAGTTGTTAGGTATATTTATGTGCTTTAAGTATTTTATCAATTCTAAAGAATTGTTAATACCGAATGAGGTTTGAAATTGGTGTGTTTTAATTATTTTATAATTTATAAATCATATATACAGGGTGAATTGCTACTCGTGCTACAAACTTCTCCAGTAGATTCTTCACCCTAAAATGAACAAAAAAGTTCATATTGTCCATGGTCCGATTCTCAACCATTTCAGAGTAATTTCGCTTTTTATCGATTTTGAAAGATATCACGTCCTGGCGTCGGAAAATCGTGATATCTTTTAATCTAAACATTTCTCT